GCCGTAAGTCCTCACTCTGCCCGGACTACGCACGTAAAGCGCTCGCGTAATGTTTACATACTTCTCGTGTACACCTTTTATAACAGACGGTCCCAAAAAGCGCACCCACCCACCGAATCGATGTCACCTTTGATGTCAAGGAACACGGAAACGGTTTTGCCGCCAATACTTGTGACGGTGCTTCTACAACTGACGCAAGGTGAATATGAGGTAGATGCATCCCCGACCTCGACGAAACCCGGCTGGATCCTTACGAATCTGGCTTTCACGAGTACCATTCAGTCTGTACAGGATGACAGACGTAAGGAATTTGTAGCGTTGGGGATCAGACTGATTCCTCTATTGCTGCCGCAATACGAACGCGAGCCTCCTTTTAAAAATCCGGAAAATAAGGGAGCAGCTCTAGTCGGTTGAAACAGTTTCCTGCTCCCACTCTTTCACTAGTACTTTGTGTAAATCATTCACAAGGGCAGATCCTCTGAATTCGAAGTGGGCTGGATGAAGGTCATCTGGCCCCGCGGCTTTCTTTAACTTCAACTGTCCCTTGGGCAGAGCGATTACTGGTCAGTGAGGAATCTAACGATTCTGCCTGATTACATTGCTTTTCAAAATGCTCAGTCCAGCATTTTGACAAATTGTGGATTGGCTGTCCACTCCGGTCATAAATAGTTTCACTAACACCAGGTCTTCTGCTGCCCGTCTCCCGTATCAAATGGAATAACTTCCGATGGTTACCAAGGGCAGCATCTGTCTCTATCTCGGTGGTACGTTGAAATCAGCAGGCTTCGCAGGCTCCTTCGAGCTAGTACGGAGTTTTTCCCCGGAGTTCTGCCAGTCTCATTGTCTTCGTTTCCTCCCGGAATGTGTCGGCGAACATCGATAAGTTCCAGAGACGGCGAAGACCCAGTGCCCATGGTGACTATTAAACTTAATACATGAAGATTTGCTTGCTGCTAGTTAGGTCTGGTAAACATGCGGCCAGTGACCTTCAACTGTATTCAATGAGCGTTTACTCAGCCCGCACGCCAGCGTAATTCGATACGCATTCAGAAAATCTGGCTTTGCCAGTTGGCTGGTGTCTATGCGCCCACAGCGTCGTCGCGGGCGTCTGCCGAAACCCACCCGCAGATAAACACATACAAGTGCATGGTCGGTGTCCACACATGTGCTTCAAATCGAGCGAGTTTTGGACGCAGACTCTCTAGCGATAAGTGATCGCGATGTGATCGATTTGCGTCCATAGCTGGTTCGAGGCTGGTGTGCGCCATGTCACCCTCTGACGGGTGCTGTGTCACAAGTTAGTGCTCGCAAGGAATAAGCGAGCAGTTTCACACAAATGAAGTAACCGCTCACCGTTATCATTACGGGAGCCTACACCATGTTGACCGCCCAGCTGCAGCTCATCTGTGGACAATTTTCCAAATTGAGCGTTCAGATCTCCAGCCGGCACTAGTGTCCGTGCTTCTTCTGTGGCGGAGTAGGTCGTTCAGTTGACGATAGAAGTCGTCTTTTACCATGTCATCGCTATAGTTTGTGGGGGCTTAGGCAGCGATGACAAACAGATAACTATTGGTCCCGCGCGACTTCGAAGCTTTGAACAAGCCAGCTAGTCGGACCGCACATATTCGGCTACTGATTGGGATCCAAACAACCAGAGCAACTTCAGCCCGGAAACTCCGCGCAGTACCAACACCGGTTTGCCCGGTACTCAAAACTGCATCGTCTCATGATAAGCGCCCTGAGAAAGCACTGCAAGTGTAGCCTGAAGGGATCGCCGATTGAGAACAAAGCTCGGATCTTGTGAGCAGATTTCCGATAGCCAGCAGCTATCGATCCAGGTCTCTTATGGCCGGACAAGTGCTGCGTGTTGACCGATCTGTAACAATGTGCGTACATTGAAACATGCCGGTATGAAGAGGAATCGGGGCTTCAAATAGAAGCCGATGAACTGGGTTTGATCGCTTAGTTAGACAGGCTTATCGACAGGACGACGGCGATACTTGCGTTTGCATGCTAGTTGGAACCAGAAGATAAACGCCTATCAAAGCATGGTGGGAGAGGGCCAAGAATTGGGGTATTGGATGCGAGGGGATAAAAATGAAGTTGAAATGGGACGATAAGGATGAAAAGCGTAAGATGGAGAATTAGATGACGAGAAGGCTTGAGGTGTAGCATCCAAACCCTTATCCACTCTGCTCGATGCAGCAGATAGGGCGCCGTTGGTTATCTTTACGGCGGCCAGAGCATCACGAAATTGTTTGAAGAGTGAAACTGCCTTAGGGCTGCCGTACCGATAGCGCTTACATTAGAAGTAGTAGCATAACGTCGGTGACGACAAAACTGCTAGTCTCAATTCTCGTTCGTTGACTTACTGCGGAACGGGGATTTTTGATTAGAGAAGAGCAGACAAGTTCTCACCCAGCGCGAGTCGGTGTAACCAGTTCATTCACTCTGTGACAGGTGTTAATGCAGTGTCACACGTACCTTAAACCAACGTTAACCTTAGGTTTAGATCAGTTCATCGATCCATTCGGTTCGCCATACTTGGGCGGAAAAATGTTAATTTGCTCACTGAGTTACGGATTTTCCGCGTTATGTGTGAACATTTTACTTACCATGCACTCGAACACCACAGGGCACGTAAGAGTTTCCGGTGACTTGTTGGATTTTCTTCCGATAACAAGTGGTGTTCATCAGAGTTGTTCGATTTCCCTATTTTTATTCAACTTCGTCGTATATTCCATTATTAAATTTTCCATTTGGGAATTTCACGCTGTCGGCGTTAAGGTACTGCGTAGTGAAAAACTATGTCTTTATTATGCGGTCAATATTGTCCTGTTATTTGACGATCTTATAAGGTCTAACCCACATTGTTTGGCATATGGTTCGCACCTCCAAAATTCAAAATCTTGTCGCAGAACCACCAGCCAGTTGATGATCCCTGGATCCTTGATATTGAGGAACACGATGTTCATCGATCAGCCTACCTAGGCAGCTGAATTGGCAGTGGTGGATGTGTGACAGTTTAACTTAATTCCCTTACTGAAAAAACTAGAACAGCCATCTTGAACCCACAACATCGTTGTCGTCAGAAAGGGATTTCCATCAATCTCAAAGGCCTTGTACAATGAGGACCGTCATACTCTGTGGGCGTGAGATTTGGTGATTTTTTCGGGAATCTGAGGCGCCCTCAAGCCTTTCGTTATCGTTGTTTGTGGTACATAGCTGGTTTTGGATGTTTTATATATATATATATATATATATATATATATATATATATATTCAACGGTCTACGAATAGACATTGAGCCATCAGAAACCATGGGACTCAAGACAAGGTACAGAAATGGTAAAAGAAAACACAACACAAAACATCAAAATCCATGATTTCGTCAGAGGGCGAGATACTACCCGGTTGCCCAAGCCGAAGTAGGGTGTTGACTTAGGGAACACCACCCCGAGCCTTTGGCTGAATAGCCTGCCCGCAAGGCAACGGAGCGAATTCAGGGAATCTCGCCCATTGGGAGCCGGTGACTGATTGCTCAGTTCATACGTCTTTCGTTTGTTTCTTTGTCAAGCAGGGACCCAATGCTCCCCAGAATTACTGCATAAACTGATGGAATACGATGCTTCGCCAGGATGAAGCAAGGGGCAGTGATTTTATTTTGTTGAGAGTCACATCCGCCACGTCACAGTGTTGTTAAACGGACATATGTGGATTTTTATAGGGAGAACGCTTGCCAGGCGAGAACCCACCACGTCCTGGAACACTGCCGCCGAACGATTTGGTGGAACGGGAAAATCCCGAACCACCCAGCTGGCACCACGAGGAGGTTGTTCGGATAGTACTAGCATATTTACAGCGATGACCTTCGCTGGCAAATACTTAGTGGAGATAGTCAGGCTAGTTCATTAGTGCAACAAATTGTCGTGAATAAGTTGTGTTGGCTTGGGCACATGCCACGTATTCCTGATCACTACTCTTTTTACCGGATGTTGGAAGGCACAGTTGCGTAAAGGTTGACTTGACCGTTGGAATTGAAGTCACTGACTGCTAGACTGGATGCCGTTTTTCCGTCCAGCCTTCTTGGCAGAAGTCCACGTAACCCGCCTAGTGGTTGGATTACGACCTTACAGGACATGACTCATAGTCGGTAACAGTGGGGCGTTTGCGGTCATCTGCTCGGATTACTTGTTTGAGTTGTGCCCAACGCGGAGTTATCTACTGTGTATTGGCTGACGCGGGGCAGTGAAACACGCGAGGAAGTTGTCTCACCAATGCCGCCTTACCTTCACACGCGTGTTTGTGACAGCGTGTAGTTAACAAGGCATAGACGCTTTGATTATGACTGTTTGCTTGTGAGCATTTAGGTTCTACATTAGGTCACGTTTTTCCTTTCCTATTATTCTTTATACTCTAGGTCATTGTGCTTGAGCGGTAGTGATGCATCAGTCCAGGTTATTGAACTGATACTGTTGTTGCTGTTCTTATATCTAGTGTGATAACCGAATGATCGCATCTGAAGTTCACAAACCAGTGCTCCACATCGATCTCTCTGGCGCAGGGCTTATCATTTTCATTTGGATTTTCTTGTCAGCCGCGTCACTTCAAATGCTCACTAATCCTCCGCTTTGGTGCGTGCTGTTTTTGAACACTTCCTGTTTGAGTCGAACATTTGACCTGGTGGATAGTAATACAGCACTTCCCCGGACGGCCTGGTGGAGCTTGGTCAAACAAGGTATTCTGTGCCAGTGGAGAGTTACCATTTTTCGCGTACCTCAGCTGCGTCGTGTTTGCTCTATCGCTTCCACCTGCTTTCCGTCTAACAATCATACCTCCCTTTCTTTTTTGTTATTTTATTTGTATGCCTTTTCTTCTTCGCTCAACTGATTGCTGTCATTTACCATCCATGTGTTGACGTAGGCCATGCTATCTGAGTCATTTGCACCTCAATACTGTGATCATTGCTTACAGCCGACTTTTTTTTAAACCAATTTTTAGATTACATTTCAACTCACCACCTCGTGGGTGTCACTCTTTGAATAACTTTTACGCCTTCCCGGGCCAGGCATGACAGAGTATAAACTGGTGGTCGTTGGAGGTAGGTACGTTTACACTAGTCACCATTGAGAGCAGCTGGCGGAGTTGGAAAGAGCGCCCTGACTATACAATTGATTCAAAATCAGTGAGTGAAGTCTTTTCCTCTCAAACCGATCCTATTCAGCTTCGTCGAAGAATATGACCCAACAATCGGTACGGTTAATTCATCAAATCACCATGAATCAATTGCGTCTAGAGGATTCATATCGCAAACAGGTTGTGATTGATGGTGAAATATGCTTGCTTGATATTCTGGACACAGCGGGTCAAGAGGAATACAGGTGTGTTTTGTTTAAATCTCTATGCAACTTTTCATAGTGCTATGAGAGATCAGTATATGCGAACAGGTGAAGGCTTCCTATGCGTGTTTGCAATGAATAACCACAAAAGCTTTGAGGATATCAACCAGTATCGTGAGCAAATCAAACGAGTGAAGGATGCAGATGAGGCACCCATGGTTTGTAAGTCTTCTCCAAACGTTTCCTCTCTTCTAAACTGCCTATCGGTCACAGTAGTTGGGAACAAGTTAGATCTCACTCACCGAGTTGTATGCGCTAACGAAGCAAAGATGCTTGCCTGCTCTTACGGAATCCCCTATGTGGAAACATCAGCGAAAACCAGACAAGGAGTGGACGAAGCATTTTACACACTGGTTCGAGAAATTCGAAAATACGTAAGTGCACTTTTCACTTCCTATGTATCACATATATGTATTTATGAGTCTAAAAACAGCCACTTGTTTCATTGTGCACACATTTGAATTGACATTGCCATCTTGCTGGCCGCTGATACGAAGTATGTTAGTCGTTTAACATTGCCTCCTTTAACCATAGTCTGCTTCAGCTACGTGTTACTTTTCTTTCTGGTTACAGCCTTAGTTCCGTGTTTTCATAGTTGCGTCTGTGGAATTCGACGCATCGTCATTTGGACTTAAACGAAGCTGTGTCTTACACCATAATGTCGTCTCATGTGACTATTTATTCAACTTAAACAGTGGCGTTGAACGTGTCTTATTTCATCTTTTGACTCAAATACATCTGGTTTCTTCCTTCAAGGTTTTTCGTTTCTTGGGTAGCACTAATCTTGGTATCTGAATCCGTAGCCGGATTTTGCTTTATTAACTGTACTGTGCTATGCATTGGAGACACATTGGCTTCAAATTGTATAACTAGCATATGCTCATCGACCAGTTATTTCCTCTCCATTTCTATTAATCCGACTCGTTTATTGGCCAGGTAGCGAGATGTGCAGCAATCGTCGTATACGCTTTAACCAGCACAGCATAGACCTATTAGCTTTCCGAATCTCTGCAGGGCTGGCGTGCAATTAAATCCATCGACTTTGCCGCCCTATTGTCGCACTGCGTTTCTTTTCACGACGGTGCTGGTACACTTCTATGAAGTAGTTTACATATGACCAGCTGTTATCCGTTGCGTTTGCTATATATATATATATATATATATATATTACATATATATATATATATATTTGCAACAGTCTATGAATAGACATTGAGCCATCAGAAACCATGGGACTCAAGACAAGGTACAGAAATGGTAAAAGAAAACACAACACAAAACATCAAAATCCATGATTTCGTCAGAGGGCGAGATACTACCCGGTTGCCCAAGCCGAAGTAGGGTGTTGACTTAGGGAACACCACCCCGAGCCTTTGGCTGAATAGCCTGCCCGCAAGGCAACGGAGCGAATTCAGGGAATCTCGCCCATTGGGAGCCGGTGACTGATTGCTCAGTTCATACGTCTTTCGTTTGTTCCTTTGTCAAACGGGGGCCCAACGCTACCCAGAATTACAGCATCAACTTGCTGGAATGCGATGCTTCGCCAGGATGAAGCAAGGGGCAGTGACTTTATTTTGTTGCGAGTCACCTCCGCCACGTCACAGTGTTGTTAAACGGACATATGTGGATTTTTATAGGGAGAACGCTTGCCAGGCGAGAACCCACCACGTCCTGGAACACTGCCGCCGAACGATTTGGTGGAACGGGAAAATCCCGAACCACCCAGCTGGCGCCACGAGGAGGTTGTTCGGCTGGCCAGCCCGTTTAATTCGTCGACTTGTGAAATGTTCGCCACTAGACAACTCGGGCTTCGTTTCAGATTGGGCGTCTGCAACGCGCATTGCAAAGGACCCAGAACTTCATGCTCTCTCCATCTGCGTCCGACACTTTCGTCTTCGTTTGTGATCCTGGCAACCGACATCCTTGTCTTACACCGCTGGAGATATTGAATGGTGACGACTACTTGCCGTAGACATTAACTCTGCCGGACCTACACACATCTAGCGCTCGGATAATGTTTACATATTTCTCGGACACATATCCTGTGTAGACGATCCCAAAGAGCACATCGATCAGCCCAATCAAGGGCCCCTTTGATTTCTAGGGACACGACTACCGTGGGTGGCCAATAAACATGGCGGCGCTCCAACGACTGAGGTAATTTTAAGATGTGGTAAATGCAAACTCGATTTGACGTAGACTGGTTTCCTCCTCACGATTCTGACTTTCACGGTTGCCAGTCAGTCTATGAAGGACGACGGGAGCACTTATGTTAGAGTCAATCAAGACCCAACTGATCCCTCTATGATTACAGAATTCGGAAAGTGAGCTCTCTTTGAAAATTGAGACAGTATTGTAGCGACTCCGGTCTGTTGGAACGATTTCTTACTCCCACAGATTCACTAGCAACTTGTGCAGACCATCTACAAGATTAGGGCCCCTGAATTCGTAAGGAGCTGGAGGAAGTCTATCTGCTCCTGCGGTCTTATTCACTTCCAACAATCTATTCTCATGTTCGATTTCTGCAGGTGAAGGCGGGTCCATTGGGATGGTCCAGGGAGAAGAGCGGTCATTGACCGGTGGAGTAGCTGTTGCGTCTGGTTGATTAGGCTGTTTTTCAAAGTGTTCGGCCCAACGCTGTAAGCGTTTTGACAAACTGGGTCATCACAGATGATCTAGCTAACACCAGGTCTCCTGCTGCCCGTTTCCCGTATCAGATGGAACAACTTCCCATGGTTTCCAAGGGCAGTGTGTTTCCATGATGAGACTAGCAGGCTTCGTGGTCTCTCTTCATGCTAGCATGCTGTTTGGCCCTGAGGCCTTTGTAAGTTTTATTGTGTTCGCTGCTAGTCGGGATGAGTCGGTGAGCATCCAGAGTTCCAGAGAATTCGTTGATACCCAATGCCTAGGTTGGTAGCTTGATGTGCTACATGAAGATATGCCTACCGTGGACAACCTCCGGTGGATACGCAATCAGTGCTCTTCATCTGCATTCCGTGAGCTCTTAATCAGCTTGGATGCCAGTATACTTTGATACGCATTCAAAGCATTTGGATTCGCTAGTTTGCGGGCGTCTATTTGCTCACATCCTCGTCAGGGACCTCCGGCGAAACGCACTCGCAAGTCGGCGCATACAACTGCGTGGTCGGAGTCCACGCTTGTCCCAAGTCGCGTGGCAGTTTTAAACACAGTCTCTTCAGTGGCAGCTGATCGTGATGTGGTCGATTTGCTTCCATAGCTGATCCGATGCTGGTGGGCACTATTTCACCCTTCTGTGTGTGCGCTGTTAGTGTTGTTGCGAGAAATAGATGAGCATCATTACACTGATATACCAATCACTCGCCGTTATCATTGTAGGAGCCTACACCGTGTTGGCCACCCGGATACAACTGAGCGTTAGATAATTTTTCAACTTTAGCGTTCAATTCACCAACCAGCACCACATTATCCCTACATTTTCTGTAGCAAAGGAGCTCATTAAGTTGGCCATAGAAGTCATCTTTCACCGAGTCCGTGCTACAGTTTGTGGGCGCGTAGTCCGCAGGGACAAACAAGCACTATGTGTCTGCGCGCGACTTCAAGGCCTTGAGTGAGCCAGCCAATCTGACGGCGCACATCCAGATACTGATGGAATCCAGGGAATCAAAGCCGCTACCGTCCGTTTGCTCAGAAATGGAGTCTTGCAGGTGGATATCCAATACAGGGCAGATATCGATCATTTTGTCTTGTGTTTGAACAAGTGCTGCGCCTATTTTGAAGCGCACCGGTTGTAACGAATATCTAGGTATCCAGGGAGAAGCGGATTAACTGAGCTTATCCGCAGTTTGACAAGGGCTTAGCTTCAGAAGAGGAATGAAACTTCGCGATTGTCTGTGAATTTAAATTAGAAGACTAAAGCATATATCGAAACAAGGTAGTGCTGCTCCAACAATTGGGGAGTGAAGGCCGGTGGATAATGTAATGACATTGGAACGGGATGATAAGGATGCAAAAGCGCAGACTGAAATTCGAAGACAGGTGAGCTTGGGCCATATCATCCCTACTCGGTGCAGCAGATAGGGCGCCGTTAATTCTCTTTGAGGCAGCTAGAGCATCAAGGCATTTTTTGAAGTGATCATCTTATTGCTTGGGCAGGATACTATTAGGTTGCTCATGCCTAAACAAAAGAATAACTAGGGTTCTCAACCAAAGCGTTCGGTTCAAAAATATACCCCCAAGGCAGCGGATTTTGGCGCTGGGCTACACAATCTGTTTTATGGAGTGATGAGCCATTCTCGCTCCGACCCCCAACCTAGAGAGTCAGGATACCAAGTTTGTCTGTATCCGGAACAATTAGAAACATAAAGGAAAGTCTATTATTTTAGCAATTAAACGATTATCTTCGATCATGCATTGATTCCGAATATTCCGGTACCTTCCATTCCTTCACGTGATCGCCAGCATACAGAGTTTGGGCAAGGAGGCTGCTAATTTTACCAGTTGAATTTCGTTTTCTAGAAGCCGAAGGTCATTGAGTCCCCTATATATTTGACGTAGATCTGGCTTATTTGGTACTGCGTTTTTGCGGCGTTTTAGGCTAGGTTTAGCATCGTTTTTGTTAACACGGTTTTCGCGATCAAGGCCGTTGGACTTTCGATTTTTCTTTGGCTGGGCTAGAATATTTGCGGAGAAATTTTGGGTGTTTACTTCGAAATAGCGAGAAAACTTGAAGATCTTACAATGACGACGGACAAGCACAAAAATGTTACAAACTTTTCCACCGAACATTTTCATAAACTGCTTCTTCAGCAACAATCCCAGATGGGAGCACAAATGAACCTGATTGAAAGTTTAACGCAGTGCTTGAACGTACAGTCAAACGGAGAAGCTACACGTGACACGCAGGCTGTTTCACTTGATCCTCTCATGAATTCAATCACTGAATTTCATTATGATGCTGATTCCGGATGCACTTTCGTGGCGTGGTTCAAACGCTGGGAGGACATATTCCGGACGGATTTCAGCCGTCAAGATGATTCATGAAAAGTGCGTCTTTTGCTCTGCAAGCTCGGTACTAATGAAAATTCAAGATTCTTTGATCACATCCTACCCAAAGAGCCGGAGGACATCACTTTCGACGAGGCAGTGGCAACACTCAAAGAGATTTTTGGTGACTCAACGTCTTTGTTTAGCATTCATTCCTAATGTCTAAAAATTGTTAAGCGTTATACGGACGATTATGGGTCACTAGCAAACATGGTTAATCGTCACTGTGAACGTTTCAAGTTACGCTGTTTAACAGATGACCAGTTTAAGTGTCTCATGTTTGTCAGTACTTTACAGTCTCCACGCGACTCGGAAATCGGCACTCGGCTCCTTGTTAAGTTGGATCAAG